ATTATTATTGGTTAATATCACCATTATTATTATTATTATTATTATTTGCCATTAATGTAGGTTCTTGGGGTTTACGAGTGGAGTGGGGTGAATCCATTGCCCCCGGAACTTTGGTTGTTTCCTTACTCTCTCCCCATACATCCCGGTAATTTCGATCGTACGAAAATTTATCGAAATTCATAATTTTTTTGGAAAACAATTGTTGTTGATCTCAAAATTCGTTGACCATCCGAGGAAATGTTTCGAGTAGAACAAACCTCGACGTTAATGCTTGAACGACGAACCTAAATTTTGACTCATTAGATGGACTTAATTAATGTTCGAGATTTCAATACAACTGTTATTATTATTATTATTATTATTATTATTCGCAGGAAGGATGTGGTGCCATAGTCGAATGGTGTACCTACCAATGTCGTACTTGTATGGGAAGAGATTCGTGGGAAAGACAACATCTTTGGTGCTCAGTCTCCGAAAAGAGTTGTACGTGCTTCCGTATCGCAGCATTCAATGGGGTCTCACCAGAAATCTCTGTGCTAAGGTACCTAGCTAGCTACATGCCTTTATTCGCTTCTTTCTTCTGATTATCCGAGGAGTAACGAGAGTATACTGCGATTAGTAGTAGTAACGAGAGTATGATTGTTTAGTTATGTATATCGAAAAATGTTTGGTTTACAACATAAGCGATTAATGTATTTTACAAACATTTATGAAAAGTCATCGTTGTTCGTTGTAAACATGACATTGTAAAATTTATGAATTAATTTTTTATTATTTTTATTATATTTTATCGGCGACACCCTTATTCAACAATCCTGGGTCCGCCACTGCACAAGGCTCTCGCGCTTGTCCGACCATGAAGGACGTAAATCAGTGTGTCGTTTTAATTTTTCTTGGTCGACCTCGATGCAGGAGGATCTGTACTATCCACACCCATTCCTGCAAGACTTGTTGTGGGCTGGCCTCGACAAGGTTTGGGAGCCTCTAATGTCGACATGGCCGATCTCCAAGCTCAGGGAATCTGCCCTAAAAACTTGCATGCAACACATCCACTACGAGGATCAAAACACCAACTACGTTTGTCTTGGTCCTGTCAGTAAGGTGTACTTTTTCTTCTTGTTGTTAATTAAGTCAATCGAGCACATGTACTTTAGCATTACAACAACAAGCCATGTGACCATTGATGCAAATTGAAGCTTGAAGCTTGTTTGTTTTCCCTGGTGTGGATCGGATCGATCGGGGAAATAGGTCTTGAACATGCTGTGTTGTTGGGTGGAGGATCCGAATTCAGAAGCATTCAAGAGCCATCTGCCCAGAATCAAAGATTACCTCTGGGTAGCTGAAGATGGCATGAAAATGCAGGTAATTAACTAATTAATAATATAGTTTCGTCGTAAAAAGTCGATCAATTCATCTCGATATTATGTATATTTCGAATTTGGGTAGGAGAGGCTGAACGATTGAATTACATGTCACTTATTACTCGCGATGATAATTTTAAAAATAGATCGAGTTATCACGCATAGCAAACGATCGAAAGTTGATCCAACATTACGATGGTAAGCTTATATAGACTAATGATCATATATACCCCTTTTATTCTCGTCACAGGATTGATATTGTTTTGTTCCAATCGCCATACACAGGGATACAACGGTTCTCAACTGTGGGATGTCTCGTTTGCGATCCAATCGATTCTCTCAACGAATCTCTGGGAAGAGGAATTCTGTGCTTCAATGCTCAAGAAGGCACACGACTTCATAAAAAACACACAGGTAATAGTTCCATGAATATGCTTTCATACTTACCATAGTGAAAAATCCAAATGACCAACTATTTAAAGTATAGAAATGTATAAAAATCTTAGTCAGGAGCCAGCTACAGGTATACCTATATAGTTGTTCATTCATTAACATTTTTTCAGCACGGACAATACATATCTACAAAAGTCGTATCTTAACATCTCTGATACAGATCTTATCAGGAGTGATAAGACACATAACTTTATAAATTTTGTACATGAGGTGTGTACCAGATTTTTGTTCATATTTTCCATTAAATTTGACCAAATACGAATTTTTTTTGTTATGTAAATAACAATACGAATTGCTTGAAAATTAAAGATTAGAGAGGATCCTTCAGGCGATCTAAAGCAATGGTATCGTCATGGTCGAAAAGGTGGATGGCCTTTCTCCACTCCAGATAATGGATGGGCTGTCTCAGACACTTCTGCAGAAGGCCTAAAGGTAAATATTGGATATATTTACTTTGTTCATAACATCATAAGTATATATGTGTACGTATAAAACCCTAAAAATGTACATAAAACTCTTATAGTTGAAAATGTCACTATTATTTTAAACTTTTTACGTGTGTCATAGCTTATTTTAATCACAACTTTTTTACTGCAGGCTGCTATGATTCTGTCTCAGATGCCAGCAGAAATCGTAGGAGATCGTCTTCCAGTAAACCAATTGTTCGATTCTGTTAATTGCATTCTATCTTTTCAGAATGAAAATGGAGGGTTTGCTTCGTACGAGCTTACAAGATCTTACCAATGGTTAGAGGTAATTAATTTTTTACTCTTTGATTTTACTTCGATCGTCACTTTGTCAAGAACCAGTTGATCCCTTATACAATGATCCGCATGCAGGCCCTCAACCCTTCCGAGACGTTTGGAGATATCATGATAGATTATCAGTAAGACTACATACCATCACCACTCCTCGATTCAAAGCCATATCAACGATTTAAACAACACTCGTTCAAACGATTTGTTCTTCTCATCGTATAAATTTGATGTTAGGTACGTGGAATGCACTTCGTCAGCAATTCAAGGACTGAAAGCGTTCACAACAGCTCATCCGGGGCACAGAGAGAAAGAGATTCGAGCGTGTATCCTTAAAGCCCTTCACTTCATTCAAACCATACAGCTTCCCGACGGCTCCTGGTATGTGCAGTATTGTCTCGAACCCGCCACGATCCCACCCCAAAAAGAAGGATTGTCGCTCTAATTACTAACTTGTACATAACAATATTTCAGGTATGGGTCTTGGGGAGTTTGCTTCACATACGGGACATGGTTCGGGATAACAGGGCTTGTGGCTGGAGGGTTGACCTACCAGAGTTGCCCTTCTGTTAGGAAAGCTTGCTATTTCTTGCTATCCAAGCAACTCCCCTCTGGTGGTTGGGGAGAGAGCTACCTTTCCTCTCAAACTAAGGTAGCTTGGGGTACACTCCATCTTCAAGTACTTAATTTTCTTATTAAAATGTCATGAAACACACTAATAAAATAGTTTTTCTTTGGTTAATTACTTAATTAGGTTTACACAAACTTGGAAGGTGGGAGATCACATTTAGTGAACACTTCGTGGGCCATGTTGGGCCTCATTGAAGCTGGACAGGCCGAACGGGATCCCGGCCCACTACATCGAGCTGCAAAGTTCCTGGTTCATTCGGCAATGGAGAATGGAGACTTCCCACAGCAGGTAAAATGCTCAAATCAAATTTCGAGAATAAAAGAAATGAAATAAAAACCATATTTTTATGTCCTTTTATTTTTATTGATTACATATTTTATTTGAATGAACTTTTTTATACTAAATATGTTTTCACTTTTTCTACATATCAGGAAATTATAGGAGTATTTAACAAGAATTGCATGATCAGTTATTCGGCATATCGAAACATATTTCCGATTTGGGCGCTCGGAGAGTATCGCAATCGGGTATTGTTGCCTCTCCAGAAGCATTGAAACTCGCATGTGTGATTTTTGTGCAAATGAAAAGATGTGTACATACACATGAATCAAGTGCCAAGTTGGTATTATTCAATTTTCATGTCCCAAGTTAACAATGGAGGATGGAGTGGGCTGGACCACATTGGGCTCAAGTTAATAAAATAGTCTGGAGTGGGCTGGACCACATTGGACTCTGGTTGGCCCATATATATCGCCGGTCTTTGGGAGCAAAGCAATTTGCTTGTCCTTGCATGTTCCTCATGTTTATGATCCACGTACAACGTATATGGTATATGTACTATATAAATGTATGTGCCCATAAGATAAAATACTGATTTCCATCTATAACATGGTGGTAGGAATCACAGGTAGGGCTGGTGTCTCAATACCCATACTCATCTCGTGGCAGGTTGGGATCAGATCAGATGATTTATTATCGGATGCGGGTTGGGGTTGGTTGACCCAATGAGTATGTAATTTATATGAAAAATATTAGAAATATTCGCTATTTTCATTATAAGGGCAAGAAACAAACCATATAATATGATAAATATAGTTAAATTATTGGAGAAATTAAGGTTTTCACTAATTTACAACTTTATTATAGCCAATATATCATATATATGATGTAATAAAAGAAAATTCATAAGTAATTTGACTAAAACTAGGGGTGGTAAACTGTAATCCGGTAAACAGTTTACCGTTTTATCGAACCGGTAACCGGCGGTATCGGTAGCCGAGCGGGAAGTTGGGGGAGTCGGTTTACCGGACACGGTATCGGTAAATACTGACGGTAAATCGGTATTACCGATACCGAATCCCCCCTCCCTACTCCCTAGTGCTGCGCTGCGTTTTGTTGCTTTATTATGAAAAATATTACATCATTATTCACAAATATAAAATATTACATACATGAATGTAAGTATAGGCCTCAAAAATATTGTAAATAAGAGTTAATAATAAATTATTAATTACAAAAATGATGAAAAAAACTCAAAAAAATCAAAATATTACAACATCACCCCATTTCCAGAGATTCGGTTCGGTAAATATTCGGTAAACCGACCGAAAAAATCGCTCGAAATCGCTTCTCACGGTATTTCGGTAATACCGGTTTGTTACCGTTTACCGGTAATTCGGTAATCGGTAAACCGGTTACAAACCGGTATCGGTAATCGGTAACAAGTTTGGCCAACTTCGGTATACCGAAAACCGGTAAATTCGGTAAACGGTAAATTGTTTACCGACCGAATCCCACCCCTAACTAAAACTACATGTAATTTAGACAAGAACGAGTCAAGAATAGTGCAGGTCAATGGTAGGTTGGGTCGATGAGAGTACCCACCATGCCCGCCCCAAAACAGGCCAAACAAGTCGGGTAAAACATGTCAGATCAAAATTATCATTCCTAACCTGGTGGTATGAATTATATTATAATGCATAAATCATAATAATGAGTGTATACATGTATATAAAAATATACTAATTATCATTTACCACGTTTCACCGTGCCGTCTCCATCGGTTACCAGTTTTACCCGATTTATTTGGCTTTGCTAGCTAGCTAGAAGGGAACAACAATGGGAGCTGGTGGGACCAGTTTTTCAATGGGTGAGTATTCATAAGGGTCATCACCACCATTATTGGAGGGAGTGAAATACTTTGGAACCCAAACTTCCCCTCTCGACTTCCTAGCTTTTGCCATCTCTCTCTGCTTCTCCTCCACAGCTCTCTTTGCTTCCTTGGCTTTCTCCCAGTCTCTGCTCAGTATCCCTCTGCTCACTTCGCTCCACACCGATGCTGATTCGCTCGGTAGAACACTCTGTCACACGCACACGGCAACCAGAAAGAAAGAATGAAAGCCAATTAGTAAAGAGAGAAACATTATGGCTGATTTTATGTTGTTTTAAATCAGATCGAATCGAGCAAGTTTTATTACTGCGGTCAGCGATCGGATCAGGTTATACCGTCTGATTTCTGGTTAAATTAGAAAAACCGAAAAAACCGATTTTCTCTCCTAGATATCTCTGGACCAATCCCTTATTCGTAGGGCTGAGAAAATAAACCAGACCATTAGAAAAACCGTGGTCCAAACCGTACCGCACAGTTTGGTCTGGATCATAGACCGTTTTAGTATGGTTTGGTCTGGTCCATGGTCTGTATTATTTTATATTTTGATCTCTTGGTCCGGTCTGGTCTAGACCGCGGTTTACCGGACCAAACCGTGGACCCAACCGACTTGTCAATACGTGTTAATAGCCCATTCGATCACTCTCCCAGCTCCCACAACGACGCCCAAGTTTCAACCTTAATTTTGAGAATTTCGTCCATCCTTCATTCACAATCGCATTTAACCAGAGAGTAGAGATAATCGTGTCTCCATATGACATTATGTTAATGTTTATAACGTTATGGTGCAAGTTGGGATACTTTTACTTTATATCTTTGTTATGTACTAAGATTTAGGGTATCAAAATTATTCATGCATGTTAGGATTAATGTTTTAAGGCAAATAACAATTATTTTTCTTGGTTATTGGTTCAACTTTTTGTGTGGTTGACTAAATAAATTATTCATTTTTCTTTGAGTGTGGTCTATCTGGACCAGACCAAACCAGACCGCGCAGGCGTGGTCTGGACCAGACCGTATAGTCTGTGGTCTGGTTTGTGGTCTATACTTCAGCCTCTCGATCTGGACCATAGACCATATATATGATCTGATCTGGACCAGACCGCATCGTTTCCCAGCTGTTTCGTTGGCGAAACTCGTGTGTTAACTGCCCGCGGTTTTCAAGAAAAACACAAAAACACACGTCAATCACAACCGTCAAATATCCGCCGCCGAATGTCGGCGCCGTTGATTTGATCGATTAAAGCAGAAACCAAAAACGATCGTCAAATAGCCGCCGCCGGTATCGGCGTCGTTGATTTGATCGATACACCTTTGACCTCTAATCAAACAACTGTTATTCGGTTCAACACCTCTCCAAACTACGTTCGAACGAGGGTGTTCGACGAATAAACAGAGAATCGAACCAGAAGTGTTCTAAGTTACGTTACCTCTACTCCTATGGAGGTTCCTCTGGAGAGCTCCGCGACTACGACTACAAGCTACGATCTACGACTCTGCAAAGGAGTTCTTTGACAGAGCGGTTCTACGAACTAGAGAGAGAAAAGATAAAATCTGCGACGGTGCAGTTTGTGATTTGATTTTGCCGTCTCGAACTTCTCTCTCTTCCCAATCTTTATACTTCGCGCTTCTTCTCGTCGCAGTAACTGCCTTCGCGCCTTTGTCGCCCACGTCTTCACCCCTGTCAACCGCGCAGGTAACTTCCTCCTTGTTGCGTAACTCCCACGAGTGCGAAACCGCTTTGCTACGTAGCAACTTGACAAAACGACATTGAGCCACCCTTGTAATTATCCACCCGGGTTCGATAATCCACCCCAACTCCTCAAGCCAAACGGCGGCGTATGACAAACAACACCGCAACGCTGAGCTCCCCATCCTTGCAACATCGATGCACTCACAATATCAATGCCACTTTTGATGGTGATTCATGGCTTACAACATTGACGTAGCTTTTAGCATCCGGGCCTCGTCGGATTCCCCCCATTGATGCCCAACTTTGTTGAATTCACGGTGTTGTTGAATTCCTCAACACTGAACTAAAGCTCATTAACGTCGTCGAGCTCGCGACCTTGTTTTGGGCAAAACGGCATCGCTTTCACTACATTGTTAAACTCTTGCAACATTGTCTTTGACTAAACAATGTTGTTTCTTTGCTTCCTAGTACCGCAGGGTTGTTTTTACCTTCCGCGGCGTCGTTCTTAGTTAAACAACGTAGTTTCCTTGTCCCGCGATGTCGTTGAATTTCTGAGCTTCGCGACACTGTTCTAATCTTAAACAATGTCGTTTTAACGGTCGCGGCATTGTTTGGCCTGCTCACGGTATCGTTTCTTTCCTTTGCGGCATCGTTTCCAACTAAACGACACCGTGCTAAAAAAGTCATTAAAATATTAATTAACCATCACTAGTCCACGACCAACAACATCGTTAGAGCCAAAACGGCTTCGTTTGTTTTTCCTTTTGCGACATTGTTTTTTATTAAACACTGTCGTTTGCTAATTCGCGGTACCGTTTTTAAATTAAACGACACCGCCGATTTAATCCACGGTACCGCCGGAGTCGGCGCTCGCATTGGGCCGTGTGAATTTTGGTCACTTGCCCATCGGTACCGCTTGCCAAGCTCTCGCGGTACCGTTTGAACTCTCCGCGGTACCGATTTTCCTCCTCCAACACGGATTAAAAATATTTAATTAATTAAAACAAAACTCCTTCTCCCACGAGACACCACACGCGCGGCCCTCCTTTCTTTATTCCCCGGTGTCGTTTCCAGTACCGCGGTACCGCTGAGCTCCCTTGCGGTACCGTTTTAATGTTCCACGGCGCCGATTTTCCTCTTCCGACGAGGAAAAAATATTTAATTATAAAACTCCCTTCTCCAACCCAACTACACGCGCGGCCCCTCTTGTTTTTCATTAAGCGGTGTCGTTTCCCATAACGCGGTACCGCCGAGCTCCCTTGCGGTACCGTTTTAATTTTCCACGGCGCCGCTCAACTCCAAACGACACCGTTATCGAATTAAATGCCGAGACTAATTAATGCGGCATTTAATTTCGGCCAAATTAATTTTAGGTGTCAACACCAGCCCTACTTATTCGAGATAGATTTGATGGAGAGAATCGGGTCGAGATAACCCGCATTAGTTACCTGTGGATCTTTGAGAATTGGGGCTTTTAACTTGGAGGCCACTTCTTTAGCATTGTAAATAACCCGCTCCCCTCCACCATTCGGATCCCTTATTTTCACGGTACTGTGCATGCAGTAATTGTAGGTAATAACCAGAATCAGTAAAAATCGAGAGTCGAATAATAGTACTATCTAGTAAAATTTGTGAATAAACACACAAAAAAAAAACATCGATTAGGTAGTAGCAGCATCTCTAAACACAACAACATGCGTGAATAAGCAACAGATTGGATGAATAACAACTACCGTTTCCGTGAATAAATACCAATGTAACGTCAAATCGTGAATAAACACACAAAAAAAAAGGGTGAAGTAGTTACTAGTGGCACCTTCTAGACACAACCAACCATGTTGACAAAAATTTTTTACAGAATGAGATTGGTTATTATTACCTGCTCCAGTGTCCATGCAAAGTGTAGAGTAACTTGTTATTGCATTTGCCGGGAGGAGGTGAAGCAGCCGGCGGTGATGACGTCTTGTAGATCTTGCCGGTGACGGAATGTTTGGAACTTGACCGCCGTCCCAAGAAGAAGGAAGAGGTGGGGTAGTTCAGCTCGGCTTCGTAGCCGGTCTCTCGGCAGCTGACTTTGACGGTCCCGGTCCAGTCGACGGCCGGCGGGATGAACCTGATCGTCATGTTTGGGGAATTCATGACGTAAGTTTCGCCGTGCTCCACAAGCTTCAGCGTCCTCTTCCCTTGCACTTCCACTTCCACCCTTGTTCCTTAAAGGCAATATTATTCCAAAATAATTTCGCAATTTCAATTTATCCATGAATTAATTCGTTATTCGCAAATATATGCTCTTTAATAACAATTTATCAAAGTTTATAGAAACATCATCCAAGATTCATATCTTATTCGGAAATTTAATTAGGTACGTCAGACGACGATTTCTGTTAACGAAAGGTCTCCTGTTCGAATTCCGATGACCTCCATCTGTCTGTTTATGTTACACACATTGTGTCCGGACTGTGCCTATGTAGCAAACTACAAGCCTATCTGTTGGAGGCACGAATCTTAGGCACCCAGATTAACGTAACAAAATAGAGTTTAGAAAGAGATTTAGATTGGTTGAGAGGAGAATTGGGCAGAATTGAGTAATTTAGAATTGAGATTAGGGTTCTTGGAAGAGACTAGAGAGAAGAGAGATAGTTCTGACGATACTTTGATTAGGTTTTTCCATTCATTGATATTCTTAATGATAGAGCTAAAGCACATTATATAGACGCTGACCAGAAACCCTAATAAAATACTAAACTACCCTTAAACCCCTCCTAATCGTACCCGCAACACTATCTGAGTGTCTTGAGTTTGAGAGTGTGTGTTAGTAAATGGTATATGATCTACGATTAAACATGTACCAACAACTCGAGTTATTTGTATCAACTAATTTTATGAGGGAAAAATCTTTGGAACACACCACGTGAAATTTTATGGAAATCGAATTGGTTGTAAACGTCAAACTACAGTCCGCGCATGGTTGGAAACTGTTGTGGTATATTTAGAGGTGGCAAATGGATTGGATTGGTGGATTGGTGGATTGGATTGGTGGATCCATGGATCAAATGGATTGGATCTAATGGATTGGTGGATTCATGGATTGGATCAAGTGGATTGGTGGATTATCCATGAATCCAAATGACATCCTCAACCAAGGACCAATTTGTAAAATGTAAAAAGTTTAGGTACTAAAATGTTACGATGAAATTTTTTAGGTACCAAAGCGTAATTTTCCAATGATATTTTTCGTATAAAAAATTAAATTTTAGGTACCAAAATGTAAAAAATAAAAATTATAGGTACTAAACCGTAATTTGCCAATAATCCATGGATCCAATCCATGAATCCACCAATCCAATTGGATTTGGATCAAATGGATTGGATTTAAATGGATTGGATTAGGTGGATATTTTTAATGGATTGATGGATTGGATTGGTGGATTGAATTGAAATTGCCACCTCTAGGTATATTAAAGCCAATTTAAGTGCTGGGACATGGATCATGGTAGTTGTTTGTTGTAGAAATAAAGGCATGCTCATCCATGGTTGTAGAATTGTGTACGTAGTCCCAATTGAAATCTCAATATAAATTGATCAAGACACTCGAATCAAACGAAAATGTACCATTTTTAGGTGATTGTTGGTCTCAAAACTTTGAACGTGTCGAATGTCAGGCCACGCGATATCAATACTAGTTCACCCAAATTGAAATCTCAAATAAATAAATTAGTTACCGTTTTTAGGTGATCAATTGTTGGTCCCAAAATTCTAAACGTGACGAATGTTAGACCACGCGTTATCAACAGTGAAAATCCCGATTTAAATTATAAAATCATACGGTTTTACTTATTTGGTCCGACTCTGATTTCACTATAGAATCTATGGACCTTAAAATTTCTATACTATTCACGTTTTAAATTCTTAAATTTTTTAAAATCTTACGACTCTTCGATTCAGATCTTCGGGTCAATTTTACTTATTTTTCCCCGAACTTGCAAAATTACGCCTTTTTCATTCTCGCCCACCGACACCATCTAGTTCTCTCACACTAACCACCATCGACCTCCATTAATTCACGTAAACGTATTAATCATCATCGATTTACCACTTTCCAACATTAACTTTGATAAATTAACATTAACCTTGAGAAATTATCACTAACCTTGAGACATTATCATTGTAAGTGTTATGTTTTTTTTTTGTATTATTCATTATTATTTTACTTATTAATATTATTCCGCCTTCATTTTTTATATGTGGACCTTAAAATCCTACGATTTTACGATTTCGATTTTATCGCATTTTCGATTTTACGTAGAATCCCGAATTTTGACGGCTATAAATACTAGACCCGTCAAGCAAGCTAGTGTTTGGAAAAGTATGAAAGGATGATAAAAAAAAAAAAGAGGCAAAAACATAAAGTTAGTTACGTTGTATATATACGTACCTTGGAATTTAGGAACGGGGCGTTGGAACCAGAGCATGTTGACGCCGTGGCGGTGGTCGGTGGCGTGGAGGGCGGTGACCGGAGGGTGGTGGGAGACTTGCTCCAGCCGGACGTTGAGTGACCGGGCGGACACGTGGTGGGTCTCCCCGAGGACCGGGTTGTACGGCACCACCCCAAATATGGCGGGTCGGTTCGTGGAAATGCTCCACACGACCACCCGGGTGAACCGCTCCAACGGGTCGCCGGCGCCGCCGCATTCCCCGAGGATGTCCTTCCCGGCGCAGTACACCATTTCCCCGTACGCCTGCAGCTCGGACTTCGGGTAGTTGAACGACGGCGGCAGCTGCACTTTCACCCCATTTTAATAACTCGAGTTGTTGACAGTAACTCGTATTTTATGGATCTTATACAACTGGATATCTATCGATATAGTTCGAGTTATTACGAGAAAGACTTGTGTATGGATCTTTCTTATATATATCATTACTTCCTTATGCACAATATCTCAAACGAAAATCAAACCACGAATTTGAAATTTGCACAGACCCGTCATATTATGTAGTTTAAATCAACGCGGCCAACTGAGTTATTGAAAGAAAACCCCGAATGTATGAATCTTATACTACCTACTTTCTTAACACGAGCTCTCAAACGAAATCCAACTCGAGCTTGCGGTCTATACAAATCCATCATACTATATATACATATTTAGATCAATAATTACAGTCGGAATTCAACCAAAACTACTAATATTGAGAATCATGAGAACTTGAATACGAAATCCGCGATCAAACCAAAGGTCGAATATCTCGTCATAAACCAACTACAGAAACTGCATAAAATTAATTATACTTGCCTGGAAGCTGGTGAGATCTGAGCCAGGGCGGACGTTTTTGAAGAGGCTCAGGACGCGTTGGACGAGGTTGGGAGTCCTGTATTCTACGTCGCCGGAATCATCTCCGGCCGCCACCATCAGCGGCTTCGTAAGCACCACCTCCACCACCTTTCTTTCCTCCGAATTCCATCCTTGAATATTCTCTCCGCCGATCACCTGTTTTGGTTTGTCAATTCCAATCTCCATTGTTCAAGGTAATACTCCCGAGAACAGTATAATGATAAACGAGCTCGAAGCGTTACAGTCTATATATATAGCATGAATTAGGGGCGGCTATTTTGGTCCGGGTTTATTGGTTTTACCCGAAACCGAACCGTATAACTCGGACCGAGATCGGAGCAATACCGGATAACAAAGCAATACAATCTCGTCTTTGAGCTTATATTTGAGGTAAAAAAATTGTTCGAAAACTGACTGGAAATCGAATAAGAGAGCCCAACACGTAAAACCTAACTATATAATTCCTCACACTTTCAGTTTCAGGCCTCAGCCCACTCAAACCCCCACAGACTCAATCTAAAATCAAGACTGGATTGTGACCGGTACGGGTCAAGACCAGACTGTATCCAATTTCGTCTTTGATCCCCCATAATCCCGAAAAAAAACGGACCTAAACCGAATCAATATTCCAAACCAGTTTAACCGAACTTAACTGTATAACCACCCCTAGTAATACAGCTCTTCGTTCAAGCAGAGACAAGGCGTATAAAATCGTCATAAATACGTACAAGATGGCAAGTTGCAGACTGGAATTGCCCAACCAACATTCTTCTTCCACTCTCATCCATCGTATTCGTCGTTATTTATACGTACATGCATGTGTAGAAATACGGGCGAAGATCATGTATGTATGTCTTTGCCTTTTCCTTCAAGTTGGATAGGGTATGGCCACTGACATAGCCAGATTTTGAGTTGATTGTAGTCTTTAAAATTTTCAAACCACTAAAATCTGTGCATGTTTCGAACTTTGAATTGATTTGATGTCCTTAGATGAGCTAATATTAACGAGAGTATAGGGTCCTACATTTGAAGGATTATACAAAACCCTGCGTATTTAAAGGATTTGGTTGCCCGCTTTTCACCCCTCCAAATGGGGTCCTAGCAATGTTGTCAGAACCGAACCGGAGTATGACCCAGTAATGCGAACGGCTCACACTTTAGTGGCCCAACCGACATTAGACCGTTTAAAACCGTTAGAGAATCGATACCTAATAAACGTTATCAGTATAAATAGTGGACATTTCTTAATCAGAGCTCGTCTCTTTCCTTCGAAATTGTGAAATGGAAATAAGGATTCAGTTTGAGAGCCCGACGTTTTTGGTTTACTTCAATTTTCTGCAAATTTTTTATTAAATTTAATGGCTGAATGGCAAAAACCAGACGAGCGGCTCGAGCGGTTAACCGTCTCAGCCGCTCGTGAACCACTATATAAAACCGGAGCGACTTTTAGATTGTTCCGAGTCGATTTTGTGACAGGATGGCGGTTTAACCGCTCGGGCCGAGCGACTCGACTCGACTTTAATAACACTGGGTCCTAGGACCCCTCTCTTCAACAAGTGGCTCAACAACTGGGTATGGCACCGGTTTCTTTGACCGGCGGGGAAGGGACGAGGTGGTCGCTATAGATAAGGTGGTGGTCACAATAAATAAAGGTATGGGGGATACCAAAGATGGTATTATTGCCTTATTGGTAGGGGATGTGCTGCCGTAGGTAGTAGACGAGAGATTGTGATGTTTCGTTCCCTACAAACCGTCCGATTTATTTCTTGAAAACTTCTCTTGTCACGTTAGGTGATAGAGCATCTAATATCAGTTTATTTACGTTTTTTTTATTCATTAACGCCATTTGGTGTGTATTCACGTAATACTATGTTTATTCATATAAGAGTATGAGTTATTCACGTAAATAAAAATTCAGATTTTTCCTCCCTAATAATTTGTTTATGAAATTAGATTTGAATTCTCAATTAATCAGTAAAATTGTGTTGCATTGATCATAATTTACACAATGACATCCATTTTGATATATTTCAAAGTTTAAAATATAATTTTACAATGACGTGAATAAATAACAATATGCGTGAATAAACACGAGGTTGTGTGACTAAACAATATTGGTAGCGTGAATAAGCAACACTCTCACGTGAATAACAACACTATGACGTGAATAAATGAAAAAGTGCATGAATTAGGTGTTTCTGTCACCTAACGTGACAAGAGACTTGATTCTTCTTTCTTTGTGGTAACAATTATTAAGTGTGTTCATATCGTACCCTCGTAAAAGTCATTGTACCACTCGTAGGTTCGGATTTATGCGCGATATCTATGTTTTCTTGGTAATACGCGAGCCATGAAAGAAAGAAAGGAGAACGGATTTTGTTACTATGCATTGCAAAGAAAACATGGAGCGGTAACCAACAACATAAAGTTACTTTCTTTAGAAAGCCGATCGATCAAAATGGAATTGTATTTCCAAAAGTGAGTTAATTAGAAAACATTGGTTTGAGACGTGGAGAGACAGAAGCCTAACACCAAGACTATGAGGCTCATGTCTATTTCTGAGGGGTTGGTTAAGAGAGTGTGATATAAACTTGTTAGGGGTTCTTCAAGAGTATGAGGCTCCTAGTGGTCAACGTGTTAATTTGGACAAGTCGGACAGTGTGTTTCATCATAAATATTTCTCCGTGATCTGAATCTGAGCCGATGAGGTTGCACATGTCTGGATCTCACGACATAATGTGAAAAACAAGAAGGTTGACAGAAGGAATGAAGAGACGAAGAACCGTTGAAGTCAAAAGACATCAACCCCTTTGACAACAAGACAAAAGAGTCTCCAGAACTGAGAAGTCAGACACCAGAGAACGGAGAAATCATCTCCATGGGAGACATTGAGGCAAAGATCCACACAGAAAATGTCAAAAGCAATATCAGAAGAAGCAGGAAACAAAAGTAATAAAAATGAATTTTGGTTGTCGCGGGTCACCAGAAGGTGAACCGACATCTCCCTAATGGAGAGAGGAAAGGGAACGATTAGAGAGAAGTTGGAGGTTTCTATTGGATAGAGAGGGAATAAAACAAATTCCAGTTTATTATGCTGTCACGGTGCATCATGATCAGAGATGATAATTTTGCTCAAACTCAAATGTAAGCTACATGGGTTGAGTTTGATAGGTTTACACTCATATAGTCATACTCGTGATTTATTTGTGCGGGTTGAGTTTTTAGTCCGTGGGCTTGAGTTTGTACCCTTAACCATTGATAATTTACATTTTAGTGGATAAACTTAATAGATCATTAGATTCGGTACCTAAATTTAAAACTTATTGCTTATTAATCTACATTTGACAAAGTTAGACTAGTTTGAACTAATTACAACATGTAGTACTTCCCTAACTCTCATATCAAGTATATCAGATATGCATTTATAGTTGACATGACATCATAATATATATCGGAAAAAGCTTCATAGTATATCAGATTGGGGTACCTTTGGTATCAACGCGAAGATGATTCCGCATACTTTTTTTCCTCCCCACTTTTCCCTCATAAAATAACATTTTCCTCTATCGTTTCTCCCTTCCCCTTAAAAATTTTCCATCCTCTCTTTATTTCCCTTTCTCCACTCCTGAAATAAAGTGGTAGACTGGTAGTTTATCCATCAGCTATACATTACATAGTACATATGATAATCCATCAAATCATTCATCAAATCATTTCTTTCTCGCAAGTATAGGACGAGATGCGATAGTAGCGGGACACCGTTTTGTATTGGGATTGTTCCAAATTAAAATTACCGTTTACACATCAGGGTCAAATTATTACAACCATAGAAAACAAATATATAATTCTTGTCCCCAACTGTAAGCGGCAGCTAGCGTGTAAAGCTACTAGCCAAAAAGAAGCCATATGTAATCTTGTTCTATATAAGGATGCAACCATTGACATATTATATATTTCTCCTTATCGAAAGTGCCAACAAAAAAAATGTGGAGGCTGTAGCTTTCAGAAGGGGAAGAAGAGGACCCGTTGTTGAAATCGTACAACAACCATGTCGGACGGCAGTTTTGGGAATTCGATCTAGATAACCTCGCCGGAGACGACGATGACCGGGCTCGGGTCGAGGAGGCTCGACGCCGGTTTGCTCAGAACCGCCGACGGTTTGGAGTCAAACAAAGCTCCGACCTTCTCATGCGACTTCAGGTGATGATCGGTCTACTACTTGTCAATAAATTACATTATTTCCCACCCTTTTTTTTTTTTGGGTTTGCTATGTTAATCATGTTTCTACCTAATTTCTAGTTTGCGAGGGAGATCAGCCGGAGTAATAATGGCGATGAAGGTGATGAAGGTGGAGGAGTAATGGCGAAATTGAAGAGTTCAGATGAGAAAGGAGGAGGAGGAGAGGAGATATTGGATGAAGGAAGAGTGAGGAGCGTGGTGAGGAAGGGGCTACAGTTCCACTCAACTCTGCAGCACGAGACGGGCTTCTGGCCTGGCGACTATGGCGGCCCTCTCTTTCTGCTTCCCGGTTTGGTAGGTACATTGGTTCAGCTATATAGGCCGTTGGGGGCACTGACTGGTATCTCGATTCTCATACTTTCTTCGTATCGTATTAGAATGAGCAAATTAAACTTCCGTTTGTGATGATGGTTGAGGGAGGTTGGTCAATGCATTTGGGATATATGGAATTCTAAGAAATCATACACAACAACAAGTTGATCTTTACAAGAAAGAAATGAAAATTGTTTGATGAAGTCAACTCACTTATTGAGAAAGAAATTGCAAGAAATCAAACCCAACAAACAACTTGATTTTTTCAAGATAGAAAATTTGATAAGAGTGGAATCATTTTAGTAGATCAAATCTCTATAAGTACCTAATATTGTCTATTATATATTTTCTTTTTTTGAGTTTTATATTGAGGGGGAAAAATTTCCCATTTCATTTATTTGTTTCAATATTATTAAAGTTCATATCGAATTGCATATATAGTTGGTTTAACCGTTTCAGATTCACTACTTATTTTGAAAACAAACTTTATAATACGAAGCAAATATTTTATAATTTTAATTCGAGTGTAGCGTTCACGGTCTAATCTT